AAATCATATCTTCTAGAATATCTTGGAAGATTTAAGTGGATCTTGAAGATCTTATGTGAATCATCGTGGACCAATCAAATCGTGTCCTACGATTCTTAAATTTGGTAGGGTTCTCTCCCTTACACCTATAAATAGGGGTTCTCCCTAATGTCAAAGACACCTCATAATTCATATTCAAGTTCAAAACTCTAGAGAATTCTCTCTACAAGTTTCGAAGTGTTCTTGAAGATTCAAAGCCGTTCTTGAAGATTCGAAGGAAGATTCAAGCACATCAAGCTCAAAACCGACGTTTAATCCAGAAACAAGCTACCAAACCTCCGAATTACGTTCGTATTCAAGTTCAAGATCTCTCGACGAGATTTAAGTGTTCTTGAAGATTTAAAGGCGTTCTTGAAGATTCAAAGTAAGATTCAAGCGCGTTCAATCTCAAGACTAGCGTTCAATCCGGAAACAAGCTGCGAAGCCTCCGAATAACGTTAGTAAATTCAAAACCGGCGTGAAGAAGATTTGAGATCAACTTTGCGACGAAGACCAAGGATTCGTGTTCTTTGCGTTCTTGGGATATTTTGACGTTTGATCCGGGAAAAGGCTTTCAAGCCCTCGGATTACGTTAATTCAAGTAAAATCAAGTCAAGGAGAAGATCAAGCTGAAGATTTTGCTCCAAGACTTAAAAATTGTTTGTGAGAAGAATCAGAGCAATAATAGAGATTGTAACCCGCAATATTAATTTTGCTTCAAGAAATTCATTAATAATATTTTTCTTGTTTTTAAAATTCAAAACACGAAATTTGTTGTTACAGATACTTTCTCTTCTGCTTCACTTGCCTCATCTTTAGGTCAATCTTCTATATGTGCTCGATAATACTAGTATTTATGCATGCGTGCTCCTCCAAGGTATAATCAAAGATATCAGAAAATTCTCTGATCAAACTGACAAGCTCCAACCTTAAAGGGTTTGTCAATTACCCCCCAGTCCAAAATTTTCTGTCATCGCTACCTTTTTATCATTTGGATTTCCTCGATCTCCTTGCCTGGTTGATTGTCGGCCTTCTACTTTCCCTTATCTACCTTCGACCCCTCCTCCACTTTCCTCGAGCTGCTCGGCCTGTTAACTCCATCGTCCTTCAGGTCTTCCCTTCTCCTTGCATTGTGCCTGTCAGTCGTCATTGTGACCTAATAACACGTCTCCGATGTGAGTTGGTCCCCTACAACCTCTCCAACCAACTTGCCCACTGGTTACTTAATATTCATATAATAGGTTGAGATCACTGCCTGAGTGGCATTCAAGATCATCCTTCCCAAGATAATATTGTACGCGAATTCAACATCGACCACCATAAACCCCACCATTTTCACCTTCTTGGTCAAGCCTGTCCCCAAGGTAACTGACAAGGTGACCTCGCCTATAGGGACGACCTCCCCTCCATTAAGCAATATAGCAATGACGACCTCTTTCAGTTCGACATCAAGATCCATATATTTGAAACAATCATAAAACATGACTTCCATTGAACTCCCTGTATCGATGAAGACGCGTTGCACATCGTACCTGGCCACATATGCATTAATCTTTAAGACATCATTGTGGGGCACGCACAATCCCTTAACGTCCCCATCTCCAAAGTTGATCAGTGGTGCTCTTGCTACAATGATGACCTCCTCTCAATTCCGCTTTGCCACTCGAGCATGATCCTTCCTAATATTGTTTGAGTCTCCATCCGGGGGACCTCCTGAAATCATATGAATGACCTGGTTCTCCTAGAATGCCCGATCTTCCATTTCCCTATACCTTTTTCCTCCATCACCTGATTCACCTCGACCACCCCGACTATCTCGATATCCTCACAAATCTCGTTCATCCCTTCTATCTTGATTTTCCCAACATTCTATTGACTCATTCTTTTCCCCGTCCTTATACACGAATTCCATAAGGTGACCATCCTCAATCAACCTCTCGATCTCATCCTTCAAGTGCCTGCAATTGTCTATGGTATGTCCATAATCTTTGTGGAACCTACAGTAACGACCTGATTTTGGCTGTGTTAGGCCATCCCTCCTCGACTTAGTCCGAGTCACCATACGACAATCCAACCTTCTCTCTATTGTTTCGAGCACCTGACCATGTGTACTTTCAACGGTGTGTATTTATGATACCTCCATTCTTATGAAGTCGATCATGTCACATATCATCCATTTGCCCTCCGATTTATCCTTTACGGGCGAGCTCGCCTGCTTCTTTTTAACCTCAGATTGAACCATCTGCTCGAGCTTAGAAAACTCCTCACCGGCCTTCTCTATTTACATATTTCTTGCACCTCTTCAGCACATCATCATAAGTTCTGTCTGGTGTCTTAGCAAGAGAGCTTTGACACAAACCAGCCTGTAAACTCTTGATTAGACCTCCAGCCATGACCTCGTGTGAGGCCAAAGGTATCTCCACGGAAGCTCGATTGTACCTGGCCACATAATTTTTCAAAGATTCGCCACGTTATACTATATATTAATTAATATATTTCCCACAAAAAAAACCATCAAATACCAAATATAAATTCGCCCACTTTATATTATATATTAATTAATTTATTTCTAGATATTGTAAATATCAGTTTACTAATTTAAAAATAATAATAGAACCTTTTTATATATAGATAAAGATAAGATATATTACTACAGCATGAAGAAAAAAATCCAACAAAATTAACTAAACTTGTAAAATCTGTGTCTCATCCCAGCGGTTGACCTTTCTTCTTCCCTTTCCCAACTTAGTAAAATATCAGCATTCGTCACCCTCTCTCTTTCTCTCTCTCTATCTCTCTTAGGGTTATCTATCTGGCGATGGCTTCTTCCTCAAGAATGTCGTGCTTCCAGTGCCACGATTCCAGCTCCGCCCCAGACGCCTTCAGAAACGGGTGGCGCCTCCGCAGCGGCCACCACGCCCACCTCTGCCCTCGTTGCGCGTCAGTTGAAACCCAACCTTTTCACACATACTGCATACACGCACATTTCTGTTTCTAAATTGGTGGAAGTTTCTATGTGTCTTTTTTTTTTTTTT